TAATAATAATAAAACAGATTTCACGTATATTAATACTACTTCCAAAATATCACACTAACACAGACAGTAGAAATACTGTTTCAGGTCACCATTGTGCAGCATCCTTATTTTAGCTAGAGTTATCATGTTTAGCTCCAGGATACTACTCAGTGACCAGTCATTAAGTGGGTTATCATATTATCTCCCTGCCATGTTGATGTGATGATGCTTCTTGCTTTCTCCTGCTTGCTTCATATCGCAGTGGATCTTGTCACGACGATTGAACATTACTGATTGAACATGACAGTACACATTTATTGGATACAGGTGGGCGATAAGAAGAATGGGGACTTTTTTGGACAGCTTTTTTCTGACGTACCTTATACCATAGACGAGTTTGGCTTAAGTTTGCTTGATCTTGTTCCGCCCTGCCCGGCTCGTTTATTCTGAGGTGGAATTGTGTGCTGTGGTGAGATAGAAGGCCATCATGATGCGATGTTACTTTCCCGTCTTGCTGGTTTGTGGCTGGCAGCTTGCTGGTACGTATTAACAATAATATAGTACGTTCACAATTAACTTTACAACCCGAATAATTATGGTGTATCAAGGAAGAATATGTTGATTTCCACAATACATGTTAAAAAGTGCAAACCAACAATGTTTTTTTTTTTTAGCTAGCATCCTAATGATGACCCATGTACACACCGTCGGTGTTGAGAGGGATACAAAGTCACTCCAGACAGAGGGAGATGCATGTACTCGATTAAAATAACATCCCCACATGAGAATCGAACTCACATCTCCAGTGTACGGCATCGAAGTGCCTCACCGCTACAACACACACGCCGCAAATGGAAGCGTATATTTACACGATTCCAATAACTCCACATGTCCTAAAATGTGTTCTGGTGTGGTTTGCTCATCTTTTCCTGTCAAACAGCTGTCGTCGTTATATATTCTCTGTTTCATTTTTGTTGCTGTTTTTTGTTACTCTCTCGTAACACCTCTAATCTTCGGTACTTATATGGTCTGATTGTGTTGCAAATGCCACAAATTCATAACTAAAACGACAACAGACGCCATTATAATAGGTCCGTAGATGTCCCCCCACCCCCGCAAAAAAGTTTAGAGAGACAGCCCCTCCTGTAAATGATCCGTACTTCGATTTAGATCTCTTTAACTTACATCACGGTGATGGTGTGGGGATGGTGTGGGGGTTGAGACAAAAAAAATAGAGAAATCATTGGAACAATCACCTGGATCGTTTCCTCTGTTTAAATCATCTTTTCTCAAGACCTCCTGTGACTTTCAGGAAATCACGTCTTTCCTTGAAGTACCTATTTACCAAAAGCCTTTGACTTTCTCACAAGCACAGCCTTTAAAGGTAATGTATCTACTACTCGTACAGGTAAATGTTTTACGCTTGGTGGAATCAGGTACTCGTCAATTTTAGGACATGTGGAGTTATTGAAATCATGTAAATATACGCACCTATCTTAAATAGACGTCGAGACATTTTTGATTAAAGTAGGGGGGGGGGGGGGTTCGCCTGGTTTCCAGAGGTAAAATAAGCTAGGAAATGGCAGTCAGAGTTAGGGGGAAAAGGCAAATTTACGTTTTTGAACCCCTGCTGAACGTTTTTCAGTAAATTCACACAGCTGCGTTTTTAATGGACGTAAAAATGTCAAGCCCAGAAAAATAAATAAATAAACAAACCCCAAGAAAACAGGAAAAAAATAGCCAAATGGGCGAAAATATCAGTTTCTTCGATTTCACAACGATGTCTCACAAACATTTTTTACGCCCCACAGACACAAACAGTATCAGGATCCTCAAAGTTTGCCAGTTTCAGCGTCAAGTTCAAGGATAAGTGTCGTGCGTATTTTCTGAGAAACGTGGTCCTTTGTCTTATAAAACATTTGTTTGGTCCTTTTTTGCCAAGCCTTTTAAAAAAGATTGGAAATATGTCGATCATGTTGGCGAAAGAATAATTGTTGTTTTTAAACTCTACAAACATTATTGAATAGACAATTCGCAACCATCTCTTCCCCCTACAGCCGCTGTGCTGGATTTGCATACTTCACCGAACGAGATCCAGCCTTGCACAGATTTACAAGTGACTATCGCTTGCAGTTTCTTTGACCACAACTCCACCGAGTATTCGCGCCTCGTTTCGATGACCATCTCCCAACTGGGCCAGACGTCTTCTGCCGTTGACCTCGCCTCTGTGGACAGTTTCTCCGGTAGTCAAGTCCACACTCGTGACGTTCCAGGGGTCAGTGTGACAGGAAACATCACTTCAACTGCTACTGAGGGTCATCTAGTTCTGAATTATCCTGTGCTACACCTTGGAGAAGGCGGCCATTTTGTTTGTGAATCCACCAGTATAGACTATTTTGGACACGCCCACCAGGAGACAGCCACAGCAACAGTAGAGCAGATCACTCCAGACGAAAATCCCGGCAACACCATTTCTACAATAATATTGTCAGAGTTTAAAAGACTTTTGGAGAAAAGAGATTACCTGACCCCAGGCTATTACTCTTATGATGAAAATGAAGTTGCCGCATCAGGTACACACGAAGGGCACACATATCTTGCATCGAAAGAAGCCCTATCTTACGAGATTGCTTGGTTAAAATGCGCACAGAAAGGCGGTTATCTGGCTGAGATAAATACACAGGAAGAGTATAATTTTGTCACGGGGTTCCTGAAAAATGCAACCCAGGACCACCTACCACATGGTCTGAGATATTTCATAACAGGAGGAATTGTGAATGGCACCACTTTTCATTTCAGAAGACACCCCGAAGACCCCATGTATATTGTCTGGGCATATTATGAGCCGGGCTATAATGACACACCCTGTTTGAGTTTGGACAAAGAAAATTTTAAATTCGCAGACACAGTTTGTGCTAATACGGATGTGTCGTCCCTGTGTGAACTGCCCTACTCTATGTAGAATAGAACACCAGGTGAAAATTAAATAGTCAAAGGAAATATCCGTAACAGCGTTTAGTACTTTAACCTGCCTACAAGTTACAAAATTCTCTTATTTCTGAACAACATCCCAGCTTAATAGATACCAGATTCATGGACAGCTCCCATTTACTTGAAGGCACATAATACCCAAACGATTTGATACACCCGAGAGATGTGTAATTTATTTTAGATAACTGAAAATGTTTCCTCTAGATTTAAGATTTCTAAATAATTTGAAACTTCTCTGAGTGACTATTTCGTTTCTAGCATTTTTTGATAGTATCTATTTTTGCTGTTACATGATTTTCTACATATATTAAATGCCAGTTGAAAGCTGTGTTGATTTATAAAATTGTTACACAAGAAGGAGTCATGACGATGATGGGGTAGAAGAATACGATGACGTAGATGATGATTGTGATAACGATAATGATGAGTTTTATTAAATATAAAGAACTATATTCAAGTCTCCAGTATTTTTTGTGTGTTGAAAAGCAAAAATGATGATGATGATGATGAAGATGATGATGATGATGATGATGA